CAAAAGGTCTTATGTGTACCTTCCAGCTTTTGAGGAGCTTAAGAAGTAATGTGGTAAAAACGAATCATCATGAATCAAATCACTTTCGCAAATGGTTTCCAGGTCAATTACAGCCTGAAGTCTCGAAGCACAGATATTGCATTTTCTCTTCAGTTTTGTCTTCAGCAAGCAAAATCATCCTCAATCAGCTTCAGGTTATTTTTTTTATATGAGATTTTACTTCTTTGCCTGAAAAAAAGAAAATATTTTATTGCTTTTGTGGTATGCTTTGGGTCATTGGTCCACATCGGAATTCATCCTGCAGTTTTTGTAAGAATTCATATCATCAATACATCCCCAGTTGTAGTTTGGACTGAAAACCCCAAAGTGTAATGAACCTTTTCATTTTAGAGGCACTCTCTGGAGGCAAACTCTTGTTCACCTGATTTTCACCAAACAAAATTCTCTAGCGAAAGACGAATAAAACCAAACTTAACTGATACAAATACCCTCACATTTAAGCTGAAAGTCCGAGCTTGTTTTATTTTGATTGCAATGTGGTATAGTCAAAAATATGAATGTTTTGTCGATGTTCCATTAGCAATAGCTGCATCGGGCTTTTCCCTCTAAGCGTAATCTAAAAGACACTGTGCCAGAAGTGTGCAACACCTTTCTGTAGCCCTAGTGTTTTGGGCTTTGGGCTTGTGCCTCTCCCCGCCTCGTCTATGGTTGAGGAACCGAAAAAAGGAAGTGGCGTGTGCTGCATATAAAGTGTGTATGTGGCTCAACAGGAACGTGTATGTATAGATGCTATTCAGTAGAAGGTTGAGGAAAGAATAGCAGAAGTATTTTTTTTAAGCGCACAGGCCAATGGTCTTCTGCTTTTGTGTTTTCAGCCTATGTATGTGGCTGCTTGTCGTCCTGTCTTTTTATGAGGACTGAGGAGAGGTGCTTCTTCTACTGCCTACTCAACATCCTGTTCATCCTTCTATGGACGCACATTGAGTGAGTACTCCACACAACTGCAGTCATCCACTAGTTCATCATTGATATATCGAGTAAAACTGTACAGTGTGTCCAGTGTACTTCAACAATGCGGTAATCTTGGAGACTGTACCATGCCATTGGATTATTTTATTTATTTGTATCTATTTTATATTATTTTATGGACAATAGCATAACAAAGCATTTTAGACCTGATACATCATGTGCTTTGACTGAAAGTGGCCCTGTGAATTTACTTTCTGAATAAGTAACTTGTAACACGTCTTATTGATTCATGTTGAGTATCACCACATATTAAAAGCCTGATTATATAAATAGGTATCAGACATGAAAAGCTGGATCATGCATTACCACAAATTACACATGGACCACATCTGACTGGTTTGGAATTTATTTAAAAAGGACAGGAAGTATAAACTGATCATCCTCATTATTATTTAACAATTCAGGATGGGGCCTCTGAACCTGCACTGTAAACCCTGACAAGTAAAGTTTACTTGAAAAAACCATGGACATAAATTGCGTATTAACTTCAGTTGAATTCCTCGAGTACATCGTTTATTTGATATTACCAAGTAAACTCGAGTGATTGCAATAAAGTTTAAATTTCTACTTATGCTCCGACTGGGATTCGTACTCAGAACCCTGTAGTTGAGAGGCAATGGTGTTACCCACTCAGCCACCAGGACACCCTGCCACTGTCACACCTGCCTCATTAAAGACTCTACACATCAAAATGTCAAAAGTGAGGCTTACTTGAACAGAAACAGTTCAATTCAAAGAAAACCCTGAGTGACATAGGCAAGCTTTAAATAAACTAACAATAAATGAGTAATAGCTACTTACTGGGAAAAATCTATTTAAAATAACTTAGGATTGAAGTTAGGGTTTACAGTGTGCAGCTTGTCGGTCCGTAGGTGCGGATCCTATTGTTTTCCAACTGGGTTTTTGAGTTGTTCTTTGCTGGTGAAGGAGGGTCTAAGCACAGTGACGAGCCGGGACATTTAAGGACATTTAATTTAACATTTATGGACAATGGTCCTCCCACTCCCTATGGACCAGTGGCTGCTATGTGTTATAACAGTTTGATTCTCTGATCTGTTGCTGACGAATCAAAAATGTTGAACAGTCTTATCCCTAACCTCCAGCAGAATTGCTCTCCCTTCTGCTGTGGTACAGTTATGTCTTTATAAAGGTACGCACATAATTGGCTAAACATTTCAGCCAAACTAAGTCACTGGGAGTCTTTGAATTCACATCGACTGGTGATGATTGAAAAGTGTTGTAGAAATTGTGTAGTTTTTGTGTGTTCTCAGAATGGCAGGAAATGTATATGAGGAAATGACTTCACACTCCAACATGTGTCCATCATCAGGCTGATTGTTTGTTTGTAGAAGGCAGTATTATGAAACAAACCTGCTGAATGCACTGGTGAGAACCGTCAGGCGACATCTGCTGCTAACTGTTCTTCTGACTTCTATGTGCGGCCACAGGATGTTAGCTTAACCACTCAGCACAGTTCAGCAAAACTGACAAAAGTGATCATGGGTTCATTACACACAGAGTATCATTCATGCCAAAAATGAGACGTGAAAACTATAATAAAGGCTTATGTGTGTCTTTTATCTGTATTTGAATACATTTTGACTGTCATTCAACAAGATTTGCCAATTAACATACACACTATTTTGCACATGTGTGCTTGTCTCAACCTTAATCTGGACAAATATTCTACTGTGGCTGTAATAACACTAAAGCAGCTTGTTTTAAGACCTTCAAAAAAACTACATCAAGATACATTTGGCATTATTTCAAGCACATTTTTTTGCTGTTTGTTGTCACTGGTGTAATAACGAAACATGATATTCAACACACTGGTAGGATCCAAATAAAATTCAAAGACATTTTGACCTGTTAAAAAAAAAGATTCAGTTAAGGTTCAAATGCTCAGAAGAAAGAGTGTCTACTTCTACTAAGTTGGTTCCTTGTTCTTGAATTTTGTACTGAAATACTAAATATATTATGTGTACATGATGTTTTATTGCAGATGATTTGGTGTGGTTCTTGATGACATAAAAGTCAAACTGAAATCCAAATTCCAAACTACAATAATTCAGCAGCAGCAGACTGTTATCATTAATTAAAGTGAATTACGCATTTCTTCTTGTTGTTATATTCTTCTTTCATTGTTATATTGCAATGATGTAATGCCACTGTCGTTTTTTTTATGGTTTTTGGCAGTACAAATATTGGATCTTCATTAATTATTGAAAACAATTAACCATCAAACAGGTTTTACAGGCCTGTTCAGAGTCGTGCAGTTGTGTCGTATCAATATGGCCTGTGGAAATGAATGATTCAGTCAGTTTGCTGTGGGAATGTGTCGTATGTGCTGCTCTAATGAGGTGTAGTGAGTGTTTTATGGCCACTTTTAAACGGAAACACGTGTGGTTCTATTTCTGTGCTTGTAGTTAAAGGTCTACTGTGTTTCTTCAAAAGACTCGGGAATCATTGGTGAGATACAGGCAAAGACAAATAAATTTGACTTAATATACACTGCTTGTTTCTTCTGCTCACAATTAGATTTACAACTCTATAATTCAAATTAAAAGAAATTGGATAAGTATTGTAATTAAAGCTGGGGTACCTAACTTCTCAAACAAATACATTAGTTTGTCCCAACAGGGGAAAAAAGGAATGCAGTATTCATCTTAATAGAAAGCCTAAGAAAGTCACTATTGGGCTTTGGGCTGAGAGATCTACAAAAGCTGATCTAAAGAAGTGACAGAAGGGAAAAATACAAGCGTGTGAAAACTATTGATAGATTAAGGAACTAATTGTGTTACATGTTTCCATTTGTAATTGTGGTTAGAAATATAGTTACCCCAGCTTTAAGCAGATAGCAGAACAAGTGCAAGAGAATGCTTGAAACAGTATGTTTACTTCTGCACAGTGGTTTTGAACAGCCTTATACAATCATACTACTTTTTGTGTTAAACATATTTTTTTTTACTTATTTTACTTATAGATTACTTACTTACCAATTGTGTAGTTTAGTCTAATTAGAGCTGGGGCACCTAAGACAAAATGTACTATGTTTTTAAATCTATCGGACTTGTTCCACACTCACTTTCATCTGCATGCATTTTTGACCTCATACACCTGTAAATCAACTTTTCCAGAGGGTTTGAGAGTGGTGATCCGATCAGCTTTCAGTCCAAATAGTCAATTCGGGCTCAATTTAATTCAAGTGTGCAAACGTGAGCATGTTTTTGCAATAAGATCCAAGTGGCATACTGTGGTCTGATTTGGTCACTACACTTTTCTGTTTAGGACAATGCATTATTTATAAAAGACAAAGGTCTGTTACTGCTGCTTTAAACATGACTAATTTATAAAATTCTGTTGATGACCTGCTTAGAAGTCGAGTGAAAAGAAAAGTGCCCAAAGGAAGGAAGTGTGGAGGTGTGAAAACATCAACCACTGACAGTTGCTTAGAGCCTGAGGAGACGAGTCCAGTGTCGGTTGACATGTGATCTTCAAGACACATTCAGAGTACATACAGACATATTTATGTTTTACAAAGACTGTAGGACTCAGAGGAGGTGTGTGAGCCGGATGACTGTGGTGTTGGAGCTGTGTGGTGACTTCCTGTTTGTCAGCAGTGTACAGGAAGTAAGACACTGTGAGAGGATTCTTCTGAATGTTTAACACAGAGTAATGGCTCTGTATTCCATATGAAAAGGGATTTATTTTCAGTTGTCGTTTTATAATGAAAATTTTCTTCATAAATAGTGATCATATTTAGTTGATAAACCTTTAACCAAACTACAGAGAGCTACCCATCTATTTTAACACATCTTACTATAACTGTCAATATAACAGTGACAACTAGTTTTCAAATTCATCCCTTAGATGCCTATACAGGCTGTTTTAGTTTTAATTCAGGATTGCTGTGTGTTGTGTCCAACAGGGTGCCTCTTTCTGTCCCCGTAAAGTAACGTATTAAAAACAAGATGCCAGCTCCTCCTCCTCCACCTCCTCCTGGACCTCCGCCACCCCCCACTCTGGCCCTGGTCAGTAATTTTATCCTTATTGCAATATGATTGTAATGATGACGCAACATTTTAATGTATCTATTGAGGAATGTATTGGCTTGTGTTTGTGTGTGTGTTTATGATTGGCTATATACAATACAATGTGCTGTTTAGCATTTATAGGCTTGTCAGGCTTTACTATGTCTTATCCATGTTCTTGTGATTAAGGCAAATACAGAGAAGCCAACCCTTAACCGTTCGGCACAACAAGGGAGAAGTGCCCTTTTATCAGATATTGGCAAAGGCACAAAATTAAAGAAAACTGTCACCAATGACCGCAGCGCTCCTTCATTAGACAGTGAGTGCTTTTGGCTGCATATATCATACAGTATTAGGATAACTATAATGGTAATGTCTGCTGTGTTTTTTTTTTTAAGAACCTAAAGGAGGAAATGCTGGGGGCGTACCCGGCGGTGGTGGTGGTGGAGGCGGAGGGGGCTCTGGTGGAGGTGCTTCTTCTGGACTGGGAGGCCTCTTTGCAGGTGGAATGCCCAAGCTGAGGTCTTCAGGCAGTAGAGACACCACTGGTAAATCCACTGCTTCATACAGTAGCTGTATATGATGTATTACGTTGTACTACATAGTTTTGATTTGTACTATTTTGTTTGGTAGACTTGGCCTCCAGTAGAGCACCCATTCTCCCAACAGGACGGCCCTCTGGTCCAGCCTCTTTTGGCAGTGGAGGAGTGTCTGGTGGTCCGCCTAAACTCCCTGGAGCACCTTCTGGTTTGAGAAACAATGCCCCTGAGCTCCCTAAAGGTCGGCCCAATTTCTCCAGACAGGATAGTCCTAGTGGGCCTCCCCCAGTCCCAAATACCCCACGCCCCAATCAAAGCCCTTCTTCTCGCACAGGCCCACCCCCTCCCTCACTTCCAGTCCCCAGACTTTCTCCCTCTTCTGGACCTCCTCTTCCGGGTAGACACGGACCTCTTCCTCCTCCTCCTATGGGATCAAGGACATCAGGCCACTCTGCTCCCCCTCCTACAATGCCAAATGGCACTCGCCCACTACAACCCCCAGGCGGGAGGCCCCCACTTCCTGATGAGAGACCTCCTTTGCCACCAGTGCCTGTGGGTGTAAGTCGTCCTACTATGCCCCGGGATGTCCCCCCTCCTCCCCCCTCATTCAACTCCAAACCTGCAGTGTCCTCATCACCAGCATCCCGCTCTGCTGGAGGAGGAGCACCACCACTACCACCAGGACGGCCGGGACCCCCGCCTCTCCCTCCCACCCCTCCTGTTGGGGATGACCACAACACTCCGAGACTGCCCCAGAGGATCACCTCTCTCAACAGGTAAACCATAGAGTAGATCCTTGTTGCCTCACCTCTGCCTAATCTTCTCTGTGTAACTTGAACTCAAGCCTAAGTCCACATGTTTTTTCTCCTCAGTCCTTCCTCTGCTCCTCCCCATCGGTCTGGACCCCTACCACCACCTCCAAATGAGAGGCCTCCATCTCTGGGACGCAACCAATCCTCAGTACGCTCAGGTAAAGCAACATTTTGGATTGATTTCTAATTTTCATAGTGTCTAATAAGAGAGCCCTAGATTTCTCCCATTGTGGGCCCCTTTCATTCAATAATATTCATTGTAGTTGCATTTGTTTTTTAAAGGGCCTCTTCCCCCTCTTCCTCCATCCAGCCGTAGTGCGGGCAGTATCAGATCGTCAGCAGCGCCCTCTCCAGTGGGACGTCCAGGGCCAGAGCCGTTCCGCAGTGTGCATGGTGGGAGACCACCTCTTCCTCCAGACAGGCCTGGAACAGGAGCACCTTTACCACCACCACCAATGGGCAATGGCTTTCAAAACTCTCATCACAACCATATGCAGGGTGAGTTATTCATGTTAAATAACTTCATAATTAAGTAGTCAAATTCACACAACTTTTATTTTTAAGATGAATGGGAATGTCGTTTCACCTTCCACCCAGTGTCTGATCTTCCTGCCCCTGAGCCCTATGTGCCTTTTCAGAAGACCTATCCAAGCAAACTTGCCAAGGGCGAAGCCAAGGGTCAGTAACAAGCCTAATTAGATACAATTCGATAAAGTTCCTAGTTTTGTCTTTTATCAACTGATTATATAATAATTGATGGGTATTCAGTAATTTAGTTTGATTCATTTTTCTTTTTTATTGCAGGGTCTGGTAAGAAGGAGAGGGGTGCCCCCCCTCTTCCTCCTATATCCAGGTGAAAGAAAAAGCAGGATGCCCTCATTCTCCTCTAACCTTTTTCTAAAAGCTTCTCCATCAGCCCATAGCTGTGGCCTTGCTTGGAGCTGACTATTACCCAAGTAAGGGTCGACTTTACACAAAGTGCCTCTGACATCGAACAGGAGCACATAAACACCCATAGTCATCCTACTTCCTGGTACACTGTCTTTATCCACAAGGCAGTCAGCATTGTAAGCGTGCATATTTGTTGTAATAAAGAATACAGAATTGGAATGTTAGGAATATTGCCTTGAAGACTTTTGTATTGCTCTTTTGCATAAAACATGGATTGTGCAATCCAGAAATGTACCACAAATGCTGCATATATATTCCACTTTAAAAAAGCAAACTATTACATAGGTACTTGGTTCAGAAGTGCTAATGAGGATGTCAAAAACACAGTTGACCTGTATTTTGTTTCACTGCTCATCCAGTTATGCCTTGTTTGAAGAATGGAATTTCAGATGATTTTAGCCCAAGGAATCAAACTGGTTTGATTTTATGTGCCTTAGTTTGCAATTTCCCGTGGCACATTTGTTGAGTTGGTTTAAGTGTCATGCTAAATTACACCAGCAGGGGATGAGCAATAGAATACACTGTACATATTGTATGCAACATTGAGCAAAATCTCAGTCGAACGGGTCAGTGATCTGCCAAAGCCCCATGTGCCTAACAAGAAAATGTAAAGTATAAAGTATGTTTCTTTGAATACGCTGGTACTTTCTGACTCATGTTATAACATGTTTTGTTTACAATTGAAAAGTCTTATTTGTAAGTGCTGCCTTGATTAACTATGGACCTGTGGATGTACTCGAAAGAAATATGAAGGACCTAGTATTTTAAGTTTTGTGTCAGGAACATGCAGTATTATGTTTTTTGTTTTGTTCTGCTTTTCCTCATGCATCCTCGTAAATGTTCTTTTACTTACTTAATGTACTTTGCTCTCAAAGACAATCGTGTCCAGAAACTGAAACTATATACATATAAATAAAATAATTTAATATTACTTATTTGACTGGGTCTCATATATTATTTTTTGCATGTTAGAATATACTCTGGTTGTGGCAACAGTTTGTATACCAAACCCCTCAAGAATAACTTCACTAGTGGATTTCAAGTGGATGTATTGTATTATCGGGACCCCTGTCTCTCTGAGTTTGGAGTTGATCAATAATCAATAGAAAAAAGTAGTGTAATTCTAGGATGCTGCCACCAGATGGCAGTAACGTCATTAGTGCGACGGACGGCGGAGTTCCTGAAGTTGCAGCTTCAGAGATTGCATGTAAGTATGGTGGACACGGATGTTGACACATTTCTTTAGAATGAATGTTATTGTTGAAAGTCTGTCTTACTCAAGGTTGCTTCCCCCTTCATTGTCCGTGTATGTTTCTGTTTACACAGCGTTCTGTAAGAGAATAAAATCTCCAGGCTCACACGTGTTTTTCTGTCCAGCTATCGGTCTCTTTAACACCGACTTACAGCCCAGGGATGGATGTATCACAATACATAAATAAAATGCAACTAATACAAGAGTTTGTTACTTTAACTGTTGGCTTCACCTACGAATTATCAGTGCAATATCCAACACTGGTTTGAAGGCAGATCTTGTCAGATCCTGAGATTGAGCCTGTTTTGTCTGTGCTCAGAAAAAACGCTTAGCTCTAGTGTAGTCTCTATCAGCAACTTCTCCAGGGTTCTACACAGAGAGAAGAGGGTGCTCACAAAGAGAGTAGGGTACTCACAACGAGAGTAGGGTGCTGCAGAGAGTTTAGGGTGCAATACAGAGAGTAGGGTGCTCAAATAGAGAGTATTCACAGAGAGTAGGGTGCTACACAGAGAGAGGGTGCTCACAGAGAGAGAAGGGTGCTCCACAGAGAGTAGGGTGCTCCAGAGAAAGTAGGGTGCTCACAGAGAGAATAGGGTGCTCACAGAGAGAGTAGGGTGCTCACAGAGAGAGTAGGGCGCTACACAGAGAGTAGGGTGCTGCACAGAGAAAGTAGGGTGCTCACAGAGAGAGTAGGGCGCTACACAGAGAGTAGGGTATATTCACATAGAGAGTAGGGTGCTGCACAGAGAGAGTCGGGTGCTCAGAGAGTAGGGTGCTCACAGAGAGAGTATTCACAGAGAGTAGGGTGCTACACAGAGAGAGTACAGTGCTGTACAGAGAGAGGAGGGTGCTCACAGAGAGAGAAGGGTGCTCCACAGAGAGTAGGGTGCTCCAGAGAAAGTAGGGTGCTCACAGAGAGAATAGGGTGCTCACAGAGAGAGTAGGGCGCTACACAGAGAGTAGGGTGCTGCACAGAGAAAGTAGGGTGCTCACAGAGAGAGTAGGGCGCTACACAGAGAGTAGGGTATATTCACATAGAGAGTAGGGTGCTGCACAGAGAAAGTAGGGTGCTCAGAGAGTAGGGTGCTCACAGAGAGAGTCGGAAAGAGGGTGCATGGTGCTGAGCTGCCATCCGTCGCTGACTCCACATGAGCTTTACACAGCGCTAATCCGCATTTCACTGAGCTCTCTAACATGTGTGAAATAAGCTTATTTTACACAAAAGAACAGCTTTTGCATCACATATATGGACCTTTGAAAACAGTCCGTAACAGGAATGTCTTACGTTGACTGCACATTTGTTACTGTAGTGGGTTTCTGGCTCAGGTACCAGTTGTGGTCTGATGAATAACACATCACATCTGACTCCACATGTAGATGATATGATCCAACCCACAACCTCAAGGCAATTCTAGTAACTTCATTAAAATACATGCCACATGCCTGAATTTCGACACAGTGCTTGCTATTCATGGGTCAGAGCTTACAACTTAATCCGTAACATTCTGAGGACCTATAAAGATATACATTTTTAATCAGTTAATGGTCCTATTATAGGAACGCAGATATATATTCAGTTGTTGGAAATTTACAATAACATTGAATTTACCTGAATACAGGTAATACAACAGTAGCTCAGTTGGTAGAGCATTGGCCTAAAGGTTGTGTGTACGAGCCCACCACGGGACCTACTCAAACTGCTTAACCCCACATTGCCTGAAGCTCCCGCTGAAACACCAAGGCTGTGGCACCACTCATGTAGCAGCCATCTTCCTGTGCACCCCCCACCTGCAGAGGATCAGCTGAGGGACTAGTGCTATGAGCATTGGGTGGCAGCTCTGATTGTCACCTCCCCGACCCAGAAATGGACTAATAAAGGGGTAGAAATCAAATTAATGAATGAATACAGATAGTGCAGTTGAATATTGGTGCCAATCCAGACAAATAATGTTGGATGAGGTAAAGGTTCAACTGTATTTAAGCGATATATTGATTGGTTCTTTTTGTATTGTTGTATTGTATTGTTGATCTTGTATTGTTGCTTTGCTACCACACTACCTTCTCACTCAAAACCTATGGGTAGTTACTAGTTAGAGGGTCATGTTAGTAGAATCTGATTGTCAATATGTAAAATAACACATTTGTGGTGTATAATATATTATAATCATCACACAAAGTTCTGTGAGAGGCTTAAAATCCCCAGCGAACAGTCAAAGTATCCTCATTGCATTTAAATAGCATTTCCGCTTTTTCTGATCATCATAAAGTGGATTTACCGTGCTGCCTTGGTTCATAAATCAGCTAAATAACTGTCACTTTGACATAAACTTTAATGATGTTCTCCCAAGAGTAAATGTCTCCTCAGATTTCAAATATGTTTGTCACATTTTTTGAGGCGGCCGCTTTCCAGACATTTTTCCACGCTTGAGGAGGCGACACAGGAGAACGAAAGCATAGGAATGAAGCATTGAGACAGAGGATACTCCAGTGGACAGAGCAGAGAGCTTTGTTATGTATCACAGAGGTCTGAAGAGTAATGATCCAAGTTTTGCATTTGCACAAAACAATCCCTAGTCTTGAGTGGCATCACTGCTTGCCGAGACTTTATGATTTCATTTACATTTAACCAACTTCATTAAATATGTGCATCCAGCCGTAAGAGGTTACGAGCCTGCACTAAGCCAACATGCAAACAAATTAATTATGCTAAATAATAAATTTAGCATAATTATTATTATAATTATTTAATAAATTATTATTGGTATCTCTGAGGCAAGAAAATTACATGTATGGCCTTTTTATAATGTTACATAATGTCCTGATACTAAACTGAATAAATAAAATTATATATCTGAAATTATATATCTATATCATGTTGTGGTCGAAATATCTTACTTTTATTTATTTAGACTTTTCGTTGAGACAAAACAAAGTATATGATTCATGAAGGAGTTAGGTACCCCAGCTTTTTAATAATTCTCACTGAATAAACCCAAGCACGTTTTTGTGATTTTGTGATTTTTTATTTTCATATTGCTTAGACCAGGGGTGTCCAAACCTTTTAGTTAGAGGGCAATTTTAGTTCTCCAGACATGTCGAGGAGCCGACAACATGAATTGTAAAACTTTTGTTTTTTGTCCTCAATTTGGACACGCCTGGCTAATAGCAGTCACACATCTAGTTACTCTTAATAAACCAATGTTAGTTAAAACAAATCTGAGGTCACAGTGTAACATGGTAATTGCAACAGGCTGTTAAACAAAACAACAAAAATACCTCAAAGGCTGCTTTAAAAAAATAAAATAAAGTTCAACCAATTACAAGGGCATTGCAGCGTGACACTTGGCATTTATCCTATTTATCTGAAAGGGAAGTTTTAGGTTAATCCCCTTTCAATTGATAAAACATAATTGTACCTGCAAATTTGAAAATATCTGCCAATTTAGTATAATAAATAACACTAAAAAGCCAAAAAATACAATCTACAGAGCTCCCTGGGTGTGGACTCCTCCTCTTTCTGAATCCCAGTTGACCTGCACTGTAGCTGCCCTTGACTACAGATTTGTTCTATATTGCTATACGTGAGAATGTATCCCCACAACTCTGTAATTGGGTTGTGCCGCGGTAATTAGCCAAATGATATACCGTACATGGCCCCTGAGCTGTGCGGATTATTCCAGGCACCTGAAAAAGAATAATATCTTTTGTGCTACCGTCTTT